GCTTGGTAAATATGTCGGCAGCTTGAACTCGGCTTCCGACATGCTCCAACTCGACCTTTCCCTCTCTAATCTGTTCTCGGATGAAATGAAATCGGACGTCAATATGCTTGCTCCTTCCGTGATTAACCGGGTTCTTTGCCAATTCGATTGCTGACTTGTTATCAACTCGGATCACAACTGCTTCATCTCGGATCACTCCCATATGCCTTAGTAAATTTGAAAGCCAAACTGCATGACATACGCTCCAAGATGCCGCCACGTACTCGGCCTCGCAAGTCGACAGAGTTACAATGGGTTGCTTCTTTGACAGCCAAGTAAAAGTCGTATTCCCGAGTAGAAATACATAACCCGAAGTACTCTTCCTATCATCGACATCTCCACACCAATCACTATCCGAGTAACCCACTAATCGGTAGTTATCCGATTTTGAATAGAAAAGACCAAGTGATAGGCTTCCTCGAACATATCTCAGAATTCTCTTCAAGGCCTTCCAGTGTGTGTAACTCGGATCCTCCATAAATCTGCTCGTTATCCCAACACTCAACATTAAGTCGGGTCTCGTGCTTGTAAGATATCTCAAACTTCCGACTAAGCTTCGATATCTCCCAGAATCAGCTCGTTCTCCTCCATCAAACTTTGAAAGTTTCGTGCCTGGTTCCATTAGAGTAGAAACCGAGTTGCAATCCTCCATTTTAAACTTCTTTAGGATTTCAAGTGCATACCTTTCTTAGGATATAAAAATCCCTTCGTCTGATTGCTTCACTTCTAGGCCAAGAAATCATTACCAAGGTGCAATTAGGCAACGGCATGGTTTTTGAGGTACTACTACTACTATCCTTATTCTTTTTTGAATTATAAAGATTATTTTTATTTATGGATTAATGACACAGGGGACTTCAATTAACACTTTTGATCTCAAAAACAAAATGTTTCCACTGATTTTCTCTGGAAATGCACCCAACACTGCGGATGGATATAACAGTAGCATATCCAGGTATGAGGTATCAAAGTTTTGTACATTAGTTTATTAGTTTTGGATTTGAATTTCATGTGTTATACACTGCTCAGGCTTTGCTTGGATAACTCTTTGGATAAACATTTGGTGAAAGGAAAGATTGTTCTGTGTGACGGCTTTGATTCTTCTAAAGTTGGGGGTTTGTCTGGGGCAGTTGGGATGCTTGTTGGATCCCCTATTTCAAAAGATTCTCCATTCACACTTGCGCTGCCTGCAGCTTTGCTTAGTCAAAGGAACATCCTTAGTGTATTTTCATACATGACTTCAACGAGTAATTCAACAGCCACAATATTTAGGAGTGTTGAAGTCAATGATACAGCAGCCCCTTACGTAGCTTCCTTTTCAGCTAGAGGTCCCAATCCATTCACGCCAAACACTCTCAAGGTAACTCTAAAATTCACATCAAATTCTCATCTTCAATCTCACAAAATAATGCTAATGCATATAATTTCTTCATATTGTTATTGTAGCCTGACCTTGCTGCTCCAGGAGTTAACATTCTAGCTGCATGGACTCCACTCAACCCAATTTCACATTTTAAAGGTGACAAAAGACCAGCACACTACAATTTAGCATTTGGCACTTCAATGGCTTGCCCTCATGCATCCGCAGCAGCTGCATATGTCAAATCATTTCATCCCAATTGGTCTCCTGCTATGATCAAGTCTGCCTTAATGACCACCGGTAATATTTATTTGTATAATGCATCCATTGCAAAACTCAAAGTTTCTTCACCACTTTTCATGTTAAGTAGTCCTAATTAATTAGTGACCGTATATATCTATGTTGCATTCCAATCAACAGCTACTCCAATGAGTCCTACTCCTAATCCTGATGTTGAATTTGCATATGGCGCGGGGCAAATTAATCCTGTTAAAGCAGCAAATCCTGGTTTAGTGTATGACATTAGTGAAGCAGATTATGTCAAGTTCTTGTGCGGAGAGGGCCTTACAAATGAACAACTCCGAAAGATCACTAGGGATCATAGTAGTTGCAGCAAACACTCTAAAAAGGAAGCTGTATACGAATTCAATCTCCCATCATTTGCTCTTCATGTAAACGTCTCAGAATATTTCAGTCATGTTTTCAATAGAACGGTTACAAACGTGGGATTGGCAACATCTAGCTATAAAGCCAAAGTGGTGTCTCCTTCTTTGTTGGATATTCAAGTGGAACCAAATGTTCTGTCCTTCACATCAATTGGGCAGAAGAAGAAATTCTCAGTCATAATTGAAGGGAGTATTAATGTGGAAATACTCTCTGCTTCTATAGTTTGGGATGATGGAACTTTTCAAGTTAGAACCACCATTGTAGTGTACGGTGAACTCAAATAAATTCTCTAATCGTATGTGCGTGGAACAGTAGAAAATAATACGCAGTACAGAATGGCGTATGATGACACTTTCCAAATGCTGCGTTGGTTGCTTTCAGTACTTTTTTGTTTTGTACCTACTGTTTAATTTGGTTTGTAATTCTATTATAGAATAAATCCTCGTTCTGCAGTCAAATTCTGGTAGCTTCGCGTGTAAAATATTATAGTTCCACTACTAGCTACAAGCATGCTGATAAATTAAAACGCATGGTGAGATGTGGACTTTGCTTTTACATAGCCTTTAATTCTTCTGTTCCTTTTCATGGATTGTTTTTTGTGCTGTGCATCACATTCATCTATGATCGTTGGTAGCGGAGCTGTTCCTTTTATAATCACACTGTGCTACACTCTATAAAAAAGAGGTGTCAGATAAGCACGCAGGGTTAGAGTGACAAGGAAAAAGTGGTTTTGAATTTTCCTCCTAATATAATCACTAATTACTAATATTTTTCATTAAAGAAAAGTACACTATCAATATATCTCAATTACAATTTATGATAGACAGCTGATTCACTGCTTCAGTTAGCTATTTCTTCTTTTAACTTGTAATTGATATAAAAGAAAGAAATAGTTGAGAAATAGAGTGGAAAGAAATAAAAAGTGAAGAGAAATAGATAATAAATAAATAAAAATTTGGTTGTTTGATTGAAGAAAAATATGTGAGAAATAAATAAGAAATGTATAAGAAATGAGATATATATAAAAGAGAGGAGAGTTCAGTCAAAAAAATAAAAATAAAAGGGAGGAGAGAGAAATAAATAAATAAAAATAAATAAAAAGGTGAAATTTACCATCTTTTAATTTCTGTCCACTCTATTTTTCACAACTAAATAACCTCTCTTATGTTCACTCTCTACACCTTATTTCTTATCCATTTGTTCTCTACCAAACAAGACATTAGTGATATGAATTCTGTTTTGGTAGGTCTTCATCATTTAGTGAAGGAATGCAAGAGAAATCATACAAAACAATGAGAGAATGTTAGATATACAACTAAATAAATCATGATTTTTTTTTCACATGTCCAAAAATCATGAACCATGATAATAGTAACAACGATTAAAATTTGTTTAATACATCATAAATATCTTGGATATATTTATAAATATGTAAGAATCAAAGATTTTTAATGTATTAAGTAATTAAGCATATAAAAGTAACATGATATTCTTACTACAACAAAACTTTAAATTTTCTTTTAACTTAAGAAAGTTAGATTCTCACATCCCTTATATAAAAAAAATTTGTGATAAACTTACGTAAAAAAATATTTGTAACAATAGAGTTTTATGATTATTTAGTTAATTTTATTAATTAAATGTTTCTGTGATTTATTTTTTAGTTGTTGTAAAATTCTAAGGATTAAGGAATTTTTACGAGCTTAGTTGTTTTGAGTTAAGGTCATTATTGACCAAACTTATAGAAGATATATAATGTTTTTTTTTATTTTAAAAACCTGAACTTCATGACTTCACTTTCTTAAGAAATTTAAAGAGAGGTTAGGGAGAGGAGCTCTGGAGTTGGAGATATTTCTTTCATTTTGTTCATTTCATATATAGAGCATAATTAGATCATTCCCTTGAGTATAGATTGAGTGACTGTGTAGAGATTCAAAGCTCAAAGTGTTGAGAATTTGGAGTTGTAGTTTTCATACAACGAAGCTCAAAAGACCTCATTCTTCACCATATTCTTTTTCATTTTTATTGATTATGAGAGATTCAAGGTAAGGGAAGTTTTTATATTGATTAATATTGTGTTATACATGTTGAATGTTGCATGAATTTGATCCTTTTGTAGCTATGTTGATTGAAAAGAGAAGTATAAATCCTTAAATTGTGGGTTGGCTATTTTAAGCTATTTATAGAAGAATTGATGAATTTGGAACTATCTTGTGTTGCATGTTGCATAACTATGTGAAATTGGATTTCTTGTGGTGTATATATGTTAGATTGGGTGTTGCATGCTGGTTTGGAACGGGTTTTGCATGTATTGAACCCAAATCGCGATTATGTTAAGTGTAGAAATTGTCATTGCACCAAACACAACTTTGTGGTGCTAGGTGTGATGCAAGTCAAAAATTCTCTGCCTCATTGATGTTGACAACAAGATAGGTAGTGCCATATGTGATTTAGAGGAGAGTTTTCTGACTTGGTCACATCGAACATGGGTTGAGAGGTGTTGGACGTGATTACCTTGAGAGTTCTCTAACCTGGTAATGTCGAACATAAGTTGAGTGGTTCCGAGTATGATTAAATCAGTGACTTTCTATCTTGACGACGTCAAGTATGGATTATGTGGCACCAAGCATGGATAAAATAAAGACTTTTTGTTAAAATAATGTCGAACATGGAAAGATTCGTACGAGTCGTTAATAATTCAGAAGCTCTATTTCATTGATATAAAGCTTCCGAATATATATGTATATATATATATATACATATATATATATATACATATATATATATATACATATATATATATATAT